GCGATGCTACTGGTGTCCTACTATAATCATGAACCTTTCGGGGTCCTGCTGGGACACTTGGGGTGGGTGCAGCATCGTGATCGTCGTACAGCGTCGAGTCCTGACCAACACTGGAATCAGCATAAGGGGCGAACGCCCGTTTTGGTCCACAGTCGAAGCTGGCTGAGCGTCGGCCCAGGCCATGATCTGTGCGTGCTCTGGGGATTGTGTACGAGTAGTCCACGGTGGAGGATGAGCTTCCTTTGCTGCCTTTTCGGGCAGTGTTTGTTCGTGGCATGGTTCCGGTACCACCGCGCGAGCTTCCCATCTGCCTCGGTGTTGTCTGGTGATTGGAACTGCTGTTGCTTCGCCGATTCTTAGCTGCCGTGATCGTTGCATAGCGGTCATTCCCATCTTCGTATCCGTAGTCTGGTTCTGAGGACATTGAGGAGGAGAATGTGTGTCCGCGGTACCGGCCGTGCGAATCAGATTCTTGCGAGTAATGACTGTGATTGTCGCTTTCGAAGGCGGAATTGAAAAGACGGTAGTCGTCTAGAAAAGATGAACTAGGGGCAAATTGATCGAGCGAAAGAAGCATGTTGTCGACAATCGACGTCCGCGTAGCATGTTGCGGGGATAGAGACAGATCATGCGGGTCTCGATCATCTCCCGACTCACTCATTCTTGTCGGATTATCCATGACATCTGGGAAAGCATCATGGATAGATGGTCGAGCTGGGTATCCACGCTTGGAAGGATTGTATCTCGCGGTTTGGGAGGGAGGTGTATGGGGAGGAGAGTACGCTTCCCGTTGCTGGGACATAATTGCGCTAATAGAAGTTAATTATTGTCTTCCAGGCTGATCAATTCCCATCCACACGAGGGTGAGGGGATGATCATCTTTGTAATTGAAAGGATCCAAGGGAATCAAAGTCAGTGCTAGATTGTAACGTACCAGATATCAGGTCTCACAAGGTGATTTAGGGAGAAACTGATGGACTCGACCTGTAGTATCCAATTTGACGGATTGAAGGGTAATTCACTTGGTCATTGTCCCGCGAAGCAAGGGATGTTNAAAAAAAAAAAAAAAAAAAAAAAAAAAAAAAAAGAATGTAAAAAGGTTGGCAACAGGGCCGAGTAATGCAGAGAGACAAGTAACCAAGGTGGAACGAACTCCTGAGAGTGAGTCGGTTTGGCGGGAACTTTTAAACTCCGGTGAACGGTGGGACTGTATGTCTTTGTTTTCTTTTTTTTTTTTCTTTTTTTTGGTTTCTTTTGGATTTCTTTTGGGATTCTTTTTAAATCTATGAGAAATAAGAAAGATACAGTGGTTGAGGGAGAAATTGCAACTAAATACTTGGGCTTTTTAGGATCTGCCAACGCACAGTATTCAGGGGTTTAATACATTTATATGAAGATACCTGACTAGTTAACTAATTATGGACTACTCCGTAGTTAGGTACATATTAAGTCTATATATACTTATATACTACATGTGTACGGAGTATGGTATGGTGTATGCGTATTACTCGATATATCAATATTTTCCTTATGAAATCCTTTGAACAATATGTTGTATACACTAAAAGTACATAAGTGGAGCCGTGGGGGGATGGAGCTACATTTGTATAATGGATGTTGATTTCCGTGGTGAATAAAGAAATACACTTACAACATATGTTGTATATAAGCATTTATATATCTAGATGTATATATATAGGAGTACATTCCAGATACTTATAGGACATTCTCTACTCCGTACAGTATCTCCCTGGTTATCTATCCATATATCTTGACCATATGTGTACTCCGTACGTCCGTATGTACGGAGTCTTTAACCCCTTGCAGAGTGGATTCTCTTGATAGGGAGCCTTTTCCAGCGGGATTGACACTTGTTCAGAAGATATATGAGGTAAGAACTGTCTAGACATCAAACTCGAGCCGATGAGAGTATATGGAATAGTATGTCCATTGAAAACCAAATCATACCTATATAGATGGGTAAATGTACACAAAATAAATAAAGAAATGACTGGGGAGATACCCCAACACGTGACCAAGATGACATAACCGGGCCCAACTTGCATCGGGATACACGTACAACAACCGGACTGCATTGTGTATGTTCCGAGACTGATTTCCCTTCTCGAAAAAGAAAAAAAGAAAAAAGGGATCTAAGATCATGAACCCTCATATCTCCGTTCCCCGCCAACATGCCGGCCCTGCCAACTTCGGTTCAACACCCGCAACCCAGTCTAGCGTCCGCATGCCGCGCTTCTTCAAGAGGTAGGATCAAAGAACCTCGACGCGAGAAGCAATCACTGATATGGGACAAGGCTCTTCAAATTTCCACAAATGGACTTTGAGATGGCCATTTGGGAAATGACTTCGTTGTTAATCGCACCTAAAAAGGTCTTCAAATCGATATACTACCATGTAAGTACTCTTGACTACCCTATCGGGCCCCCGAACTATGCTGACCATGCCATCGGATCTAGAAACGTGAGTCTATATATTCCAAGCTCGGCTCAGGCCTCGATTGCGCAAACACATCCAACCTTGGCGATGCCAATTGCCATGGCCCTAGCCGAGCACTATTGACACCTTCGAACAGAAACCAAAAACACATGGCACCGGCCTGATCCGTCATTCACCTACCTACTATCATTCTTCCTCGTCCTCACAGCCTTTGCCTGGGGCCTTGCTTATCGGCCGGGGTTTGGCGCAATCATACGCCTCACTTTCCTCTTCGTGTTCGTGCATTTCATCGGCTCCTCACTGCTTGTCTCGACCATTGGATACTTCATCATTGGCCGTCTATTCGGTCCGAATGGAGCTGCCGCCTCTCTGGCGGGCCTGCGGGGCTCCCGTGGTCGAAGACGAGGTGCTGCTCAGGGTTTGTTTACGCAGCCAGGGGAGAAGGAGCAATTGGAGTTTGGATATTGTTTTGACGTAAGATTCCCCGTAGAATCCTGTGGAATATTTAACCTTCTGACACTGCCCTTGTATAGGTGTCCAACCGGGCCTTCTTTCCCCTCTATCTCCACCTCTACGTGGTACAGTTCCTCCTTCTGCCACTCCTCACCCGTAGCCCGAGTGATTTCCTAGCTACTTTCCTCGGAAACTCGCTCTACCTCTCTGCTCTTATTTACTACACCTACATCACATTTCTGGGGTACAATGCTCTCCCCTTCTTGCACAACACAGAACTTCTACTTGTGCCCATCCTCATATTCGCCGTTATGTGGCTAGTCAGCCTGATTGCCGGTTGGGGCATTGTCATGCAAGGCCACAGCGTGAAAGGGTTGTTCTGGGGCGTGTGAAGTATGAGGTTTCCCACAAATACACCTCTTTTCTTGGCTATTTCGTCTCCCTGGGATTTAAATCCCGTGTATGAAACTTGGAATATCTTTTTTTTTCTGACCGGCTCATCCATTTACCCAGAAAAGCCAGCCCGAAAAATGAGGTGTTTCTCTAATGTTATGGGGGCGTCGGTGTACATGATTTCATTTAACATGATTGGGCATATTTTCTACTGTCTAATTGATTCCAGACGTCCATTGTGAGGAATATCTCAACTGTTTGCTTTGTTTTTTTTGTGTTGTCTAGATGTGTAACCAACAACAATCCAACCCAAGTCATGACCGCATATAAAACGAAATCCACGAGATTACTTCTTCTTTCCACCAACTTTCTTGGCAGTCTTTCCTGAGGCCGCGGCGCGCAGACGATCCTCCCGCTCCTGAGCGGCATCAGCACGTTCCTTAGCTTGCTCGTCCTTCTCCTCCTTCTCCGCCAACTTGCGCAGGCGCTCCGCCTCGCGCTGCTCGCGGATAACAGCAAGACGAGCCAGATCCGACTTCGCCTCATCGGTCTTACCCTCGGCGTGCAGCTTCTGGTAACGCTCACGGGCCTGCTGGGCCTGGACGGCCTCACGTTCACGGCGGGACAACTGCGAAATATCCTTGACCTTGGCGGGCTTTTTGGGCTCAGCAGCAGGCTCTTCGACGGCCTTGAGGGTCTGCGAGCGGGACTTGGCAGTGTGGTTGGGGTTGGCGGGGAGCTCGTTGTCAGATTCTTCCGAGTCTGAAGGGGGTAAGTCGCCCGGTTGGGCGGGTCCTTGGCCTCGCTTCTTCAATGCGGCTGCCTTCTTAGCTTTAGCAGCTGCGCGGCGCTCCTCACGGGTTCCTGCGGCTGTGGATGACTCGGTAGGCTTGGACTCGTCCTCGCTAGACTCCTCGGAGCTTTCTTCTTCGGACGAAGAATCTTCGTCACCCGATGACTTGATTTGCTCACCAGGCTCCTATGAAAGAGATGTCATGGTCAGGGTGCTATTGTGGAAATTGAGGTGGGATTGAAGTCCACTTACCCGCCAAAGACCCATTTGGTTACCATCCTTGTCTAATGGCTGGAGATCTCTGCTGAAGTGCTTGCCTCCTATCCATCGTCTGATCAGCTTCAGGTACCTCGTACTCTGCACGAGCACACGACATACCACCTCGAGTTGGCTTGGAGAACTTTCCACCACGACCGCGGGGCGCCATATTTGCTATTTAGGAAATGTTTTCTGAGAACTTTAAAACTCAGCTCAAGTAATGTAAAGCTCTATATCGAGAAAGGATTTAGCGGGTTTTCATTTAGGGGTTTCGTAAGGTTCGCAGGTTTTGCACACAATGGAGGGGCAAAGGTGGGATGTCGCTTCACATTTGTTGCGCCCATTAGAATCAAAAACCAAACCACTTACCTAGAGAATACAAAGTATTGTCAAGACTTCCAATGTTTTGTTAAAAGATACAAACTCGGAGAAACGAGTTCAGTCACAACTCGCGAGTCACCGCGAGTCACCGCGCTCGCATTAATCACATGTGGGGACATTTCTCGTCAAACCACAACTCGTTGATTTGTTAAAAGACGAATACAACCCATACAACCCATATATCTTATATACATTCGTGTGTACATATATATATTTATATCCCTATCTTATTCTAATCTTATATCTTATATCTTATATCTTATTTTCAAACTCGAGCCAGACCAGTGCCCACCTTGGTCACTCGAGCCCCAATCAAGGTCAATCCGCCAAGGAAGATCGCAGATCCCATGAACATTTGGGCATACAAATAATTTCCATCATCACGAACAACTAGCTCACCAGCAATAGGAGACCCTATAAGGGCTGCCACTGCCACCACACTGAGAATCATGCCCATGCGTACACCGATCTTCTTCATATCCGCCGTGAGGGTGCTGAGGGTCGCTGGGAACAACGATTGAATCCCCGCAGCAAAGAGGCCATAAAACGTGGCAAATGTCCACAGCCCGGACATACCGTTGACTGCCGCCCAGCAGTATCCAACCAAGGCTGTCGCAAAACTGAACGGGATCAACAGGTTGAGAGGACCGGTGAACTGATCAGCTAGCAGATTGGGGACCAATCGCCCGACCAATCCGACTCCATTCATGACCAGGAGTAAATCAATGGATCGATCGTTTGACACCCCGATGATGTTACGACTGAAACTGCCGATGTAGAAAAAGCCAACATATAGGCCCCAGAAGTTCATGAACATGCCAATCGCAAACAGCAAGTAGGGCAGCTCGGTGAAGGCAGCCCACTCGACAATCGGACCACTCTTGCGTGGAGGAAGGCGCTGCTTGAGGAACAGGACACAAGGAGTCAACGTGGCTACCGAAATGAAGCCCAGCGTCCGGATTGTCCACCCATATCCGACCTGGGGCAGCATCTTCATGATAACAGCCGGGAAGACCAGACCTCCGGTGGCAGAACCCGACGCAACGATTCCAATGGCGATCCCACGGTTCTTGGCGAAATAAGTCGAGACCAAAGCCAGGGTTGGGCAGAACATGAGCCCACACCCAATTCCTTGGCCAACACCCTGTGCCAGGAATAGCTGCCAGTACTTGGTGCAGAGCGAGGTCATGAAAATACTGAAGCATTCCAAGATAGCACCGCATGATAGAGTAAATGTAAAATAGCCAGCATCGGTGGCCCTGCCGGAGAATGTGCCAATGAAAAACAACAAAAAGATCTGAATGCTGCCGACCCAGGAGATATCCGAGGGTTGATGTCCCAGTGTCTGGGAATAGTACGTCTGGAAGACGCCGAAGCTATTGATGTAGCCCCATGTATTGAAGATGACGAAGTGTGCGAGAGCAACCTGTGACCAAGCCTGAAATCCGCCATCCGGGGGTGGGCCGAGATCTTTGCCAGATTCCCGAGTGCGCACCGCCGATAGTGTACGGTTCAGGGCGCTGGTGTTGGTAGGTACATGGGAAAGGTTGGGTTCATAGCCAATAGTTGATTCTTCGTCTGAGGAGTGGTGAATGTGGCTAGGATCTATGCTCTCGTTCTTTTGCTCTCTATGTTCTTCAGTCATACTTGAGGGTTTCTTGGAGAGATCGACCATAGTAGAAGTTGACATTGGTTTTTTCTTTTTTTTTTCCCCCTTGAGACGCCTTTTAAATGCAACTCCAAAATAATAGAAAATGAGTCAAATCAAAATTGAGGGAAATTTCTTATAACGGGGATCCTTCCGATCGTCTTCTCGCCTATTCGCAGAGATGGCCGCGCCCTTCGGATGGCATACGGGTCCACTTCCGAATAGCATATCTTGGTATTTTCTTATATATGTTGTATATTGATATGCCCATATATATCATGTTCTGCATATAGTAAATATATCTCATGGAAGATTTAAGATCTTGTTTTATGAGGTTATATACTTGGCTTTTGTAGAGTTGGTGTAGGGTATGGGGTATGGGGTACATGCTTGTAGTATGTTCCGCTATTTCTCTTTCTTAAACCCTCCAAGTTGAATAGCCTTTGATATCTCCATGATATATATGTATACTGATATACTTATATACTTACATATCTATATATCGTATATGACCCCACACTCACTTGATATGGCGCAATCCCGGGGTCCCCGCAAAATCGGTTGTCTCGGATATACAGAGATATTGTGACTACATTTGTGTATGTTGTACATACAACATAAAAATTGGGGAAATTCAATAGCTATCTTTCTAACATGTACATACATGTGAGTCTATACAGAGACATGGCAAAGGACCCTCTCTTACGGGGTAAACACACAGGCATAAACCCGAGCCAAACAAGCTAAAACAATGGTCGCGTGAGGTAACGCCTGTGTTGCCACCTTTGAAAGCAGTTGGGAGTGTCTTGATATGAGGACCAATGGCCCTCTAGCAATAGATTAAATCATCTTCAAGACGGTATGGTGATAACTTCCGGCATGCCGACTCTAAAACAGATGCCAAGGCTAGATTCCCCGGAAGCATGGCGTGTACTTGGCTGTGGTAGGTAATCATGGGTTTACTGGTCCAGGTCTTGTTCAAATCTCAGTGGTCTTGGTTGCCGCTGCTGAAGAGCATCTGAATCGATCCAATAACATCGGCCGGTTCCAATAAGTGCCAGCTGGCATCGGTCTGCTTTGAGCTGGCACCCACCGTAACCGAGTAAACGTGGTCGCGTGGTAGATCAAACTTCTTGAGTGCTCGGAACATATCTAAATTGCATGTCAATCCACGGTTTCAGCACGAAGAAGGTGAGAGCACTTTTACCTTCATCAGTGAAGTCATCACCCAAACATAGGATGAACTCTGGGGCCTTCCCTGGGGCCGTGCCATATTCGTTGACCAACCGAGTGGCGATAAACCCCTTGTTCACAAAGGTCGGTCGGACCTCTAGATTGGCCTTACCTGCCATGACTTCCACATCCCACCGTTTGGCGACGGTGTCCTCCAAAGCCTTTCGACACTCGCGGGCCTGGAACGCACCGTACTCTGGGTCTGCGCGACGATAGTGCCAGGTCAATGCTACCCGTTTCCGTTCAATGAATGAACCCTGGGTCCGCTCTGTGTAATGTTGAAAAACATCAACCACTTCCTTCTGCCATCCCATGTTGCTGCTCTCGGCCAGGTTCTCCCAATCCTCAGATCCGGGCTTCCGGATAAAACAACCGTGCTCAGCACTCAGTCCAAGTTCTGGAATATGGCCCATCCACTCATCCAGGAAAGCCTGGTCCCGTCCACTGATGATCCACACGGCATTTCGTGGATCGGCAGATAGGCTCTTCAGAGTACGGAGTACCCGATCTGAAGGAATGGCCGCCTGAGGATCCTTGACAATCGGCGTCAATGTGCCATCGTAGTCGAACATGAAAAGTCGTCGGCGAGCCTTACGGTACTGCTTCATTAATTTCGCGCGATCGAGTGCAGGCGTAGCGACCGATTGGTCAAAGGACGAAAGGTTGGTCAGTAGGCGATTGAGATACTGCCTAGACCACATAGAAACCGTGTTGGTCACCACATGCTTGTATAGTTTGAGGTGTTGCTCCTTTCGCTGCTCGGCGGGCATATTCAATGCTTGGTTGATCGCTCCAGCCACCCCAACCATGTCCCACGGGTTGATGTGGATGGCACTGGGCAGGGTGCCCGCCGTTCCGGAGAATTCAGAAAGAATCAAAGGGCTGTGGTTGGTCTGTTGACAGACAATATATTCCAAACTCGTGGTGTTCATGCCATCTCGCACCGTAGTGATCAATCCGACGTCGGCCACACGCAACAGCGCGAAATACTCGCGCGGGGACAAGTATTGTGGATAGTACTGGACGGGCGAGAAACTCAAAGAGCCAAATCTTCCATTGATGGTCGAAACCAAATTGGATATTTGGCCAGCAATCTTGTTTTCTGGGTCTTCCTTCTCCTCTTCCACGCTGGTTGGACTCGTCACCTGGATGAGGACAACTTTGTCACGCCATTCCGGATAGCGCTCGAGGAAGATCTCGAATGCCTGTAGCTTCTGCGCGACGCCGCGAACACTGTCCAGCCGGTCACGGCCAACAATGATTTTCTTTCCAGCATAGAGCTTTCGAATACCCAACACAGTCTTCTCGATATCTGGAGCCCCAAAGGCTGCCTTCTGAATAGAATGTGCGTCGATGCCAATGGGGAAGACATCTACTGCAACATGGGCCCCGTAGGCATCAACCCCGGCAGAGTTGGACTCAAAGCCTAAAACACGCGTGCAGCACGAGGTAAAGTGTCGAGAGTAGGAAAATGTTTGGAATCCAATCATGTTGGCGCCCAGGACTCCCTCCAGTATCTCCTTGCGCTTTGCAAGACACCGGACAAACTCGCTGCTGGGAAAAGGCGAATGTAAGAAGAATCCCACGTAAATATTCGGGATACGTTGCCGCAGCAGGCTGGGCAGGAGGAACAAATGATAATCATGAACCCAAACAACGTCTCCTTCTTGGTATTCCTGCACGATGCGATCCGCAAACAACTGGTTCAGGCGCACATAATCGGCCCACCACCGCCGCTCAGATCGGCCATCTGTCGGGCCATGTTGCTTGTAGTGAAGTAGAGGGTATAGCTCACGTTCGGCATAACGGCGCCATCTCCCCTGGTCTTTCAGCAGAATAGTCTCTTCTGGCTCTTCTGATGCATCTGACAACCACACAGGCAATACCCGGCCATGACGGCCCGAGCTCAATTGTTCATCGAGTCGTTCTCGGTCCTGTTGGGTAACACAAATTCCCTCTACCAATGGATGTGCGGGTGCCTTCTTGGTTCCATCCACGGGAACCGGGGCAGCAGCCTTGTTCAATGGTTGGTTGGCAACAAGATTACTTGGAGTCAGAGGTGCTTTGACTGCAGGATTGGGATTGATTTGCTGCAAAGGTGATTTCACATCCATATCAGGCTCGACCTCTCCGGTCCAGCCTACCAAGGTGTGTGACCACGAAGTCTCGTCCGATGCAAGATGTGCAAATGAATCGAACAGCGCTGAAGTACCGGAGCGCGACTTGAGAGTCTGTTATTCGGTCAGCCAATACGATCTCCCAAATAAACAGAATGTGCCCCACGTACCCAGTCTGATCCCGATCGAAAATTGAGCTTGTATGGTATGCAGAAAGCGGCGCTGATAACGCGGCCACTCAAACGAAGTCCTGGGTGTTGTACGCGTGGGTCAGCCTCAGGGGACATGGGAGAGTCTGACTTCAAGCTTAAACGACGCAACAGATCCGTGCCGGATGATGCTCTCCCTGCAGTTTGCACTGGCTGGGGCTTCGTCTCAGACGGGTCGGCGGTTACAGCGTCGGCCCCGGGGAGATTGTCAAAGTATGAAGGGGCCTCGCTCGACATCCCCTCTAGACTAGGTGTCGCATTTGTCGCTTCGGTATATGCTTCATTTTTGAGCGCCTTTAATCCAGGTCCAACGAGGACTGGGTTTGGCTGGTCATCGGGCACCTGCGCGGGGCTCTCTGGTTCGGACATGGCGGAGCAGCCAAGCAACGTTATATGACGGGAAGATTGAGGATGAGATCCGATGGGTTGCAATTAGACTGTAATAATTAGGCTACAATTGTCACATGCTCTAAGGTCCGGGGAAACCTTGGACGACGGTGGATTGGGAATGGGGGAGATGATCAAGGGTACATACCTCGGGGGGTTAGGACTGAGTCGATAAGCAATGTCGGGGAAAATGGACTATCGCAAGAAAGCCATGGACGATTCAAGGAAGATATTCAAGTCAAAAACAGATAGACTATACCTAGGTAGGTAAAGAAAGGAGAAATAGGAGATAGTAAGGATGGAGGGGCAAGCGGTGAGGTGAACTTGTCTTATCGAGAGTTATCGAAGGGAGATGACCTGGGGAACCGATTAGAGACCTTGAGAGATCTTTCAAGTTCACAGATTCAAATATGTAATATAACTAATATAGCAACTGTTTTTAAGATGAAGATAGAGACAGAGAAAGAGTATATGGAGGGGAATTTGTGGATATTTCCTCAGTGCTACGTCATGTATACATTTCTTTTTCTTTCTATGTTGTATATCGTATATATTGTATACATGTGTATGTATGTATTGAATATGAGGTACTTCTAGTTCACAATGTACTTTTTGATCTATATGAAGTATCTTGGTATATTTAAACGTACTAAGATAGATGTAGAATATTACATATATTATATAACTATTATAATATACATCCACGTACGGAGTATATGCAACTGCAAATACCCCCTTTTATCACATGGCCGTTTCTGCCTGAGGCATACACCCTTCAAATAAAGTCGACCAGAAAATAATCTTGGGAAGCTGCATGCATCCTCGGCATGGTGACATCCACTCCGGTGTCCTCCTTTGCTCTCAAATTCCCTAATACTGTTATGCAGTTTTCGAACCTACCTTTACGCATCCGTCCCTCTCGCCTCTTTCGCCCATTCCATAGCTCCGTTGCAGCAGCTAAGACTCCCGATGTCTTTGCTAATAGCCTCCGGAAGACCCTAGAAGCTCATCGATCTACAAATCGGTCTCGTTTGATCCGCAAAATTTACCC